CACAGTATCATTGTACTACAGGGAGCTGTTTAATGTCTTATACTGCTGCCGAGAGAAGAGTAGATATTGGTAAGATGGGGAGGTGGACAGAGGGAGACCTCTGGAAATGATGCGGTGTCCAGATGTTCAGGGTTGCATGATCTTGTTCCTTTGACATAACATACACAAACAAAGCCCTTCCATAAGGGGAAAGTAAGGCCAGACATGCCTGGGAGACCCTCATTGGTAACAGTCTCCCATTTGGCTCTGGGGCTTTGCTTTCAGCCCCTTACAATGCACATTAACTTCAGGTTCAGCAAGAAGCTCCTTACAGCCTTACACTGAAATTGATATCTCAGACTAGTTGTGCCATGCAAACATATTGATTTAGGTATGGAAAATTTTCATCAAATATCCTATACATAGTGTTTTATCAGAGCATACATACCAAAAACCCCAAGTGTTTGGAAAAGCAAGTGTTTATGGGAAAACATTGTTCCCTAAAACACCAATGAGAAGTCATTAATCTTTTCTTTCTGTATTTATTAAAGGCTTGCAGTAATGTTGCTTTACAAGATATATATGTTGAAGATGGTTGCTGAAGAAACTGGATTTGTTTTAATTTATTTAGTGAGGTACCAGGCTTTTAGGTGCTTAAATGGAGAGCAGATTTGTTACGTGCAATAGGGAACTGCTGGTTAAGAGATGTAACATACTGTTTCTGAACATCAGCAAGATTGACTTTACTGCTTGTTCTCCAAGGAACACTGGTAGCTCTCAATTCCTGTTGCCATTTGAAAGAGAAACGTATATATTTCCTTTTGACTAAACAGTTGTTTTGCATAGAAATGTTGGTTTATGTAGGAATTTAATTAAAGGCGGTTTTACTTTGTTGAAAGTGATTTATTTTTGTCATTGTTTGGGGGTTTTGTTGTTTCTTTTCAAGGTCAAGAACCTTTTTGGAGCCAGAGCACCGTTTTATGTAGTGGTTTGATTCTCTCGTCCCTCACCCTTTGGGTGAGTCTGACTGAAAAGACCTCTGCTTCTACAATATTGTGAAAGTAACATGTGCTTTATGGTTTTTAGTTATTTTTGGTAATAATATAGTAGCACTTGAAGTGTGCCATGTCCCCCTTTTAATTTATTTTTACTTTTAAAGCAGATGGGAAGAAGGGTACAAAGAAACTACTCTGCACGTGACAACTTTGGGAAAAGTAATTTCATCCTCAGCTAATTCACAGCACATAAATTTGCATATGTGTCCATTCTTGGATGTGTGATGTTTTCTGTCGGACAGCATACTAGAGTGTCTGCTATGTTGTCTTGTTGAGGGTGACATACCCTTCTCCCTGGAACTTGGCACATTCATCTTTGTTGTGTAAGGCTGGTGTGCAAGGTCTGGGACAGGAGGGAGTGTGACAGCTTCTTACATCCGAGGCTAAGGCAGGTCAGCAACGTGTTCCACTCAACTTCATGTGAGACTGGAAACAAGTCGTTAAGTCTGTGCCTTTGATTCCCATCTGCAAAGCTAGCAAGTAGCATTGGCCTCCAGCCACAGAAACACCTTCTGTCAGTTACCACCAGGATGTTGCACAGAGTAAAGATGCTTTGTACATCAGTCCATTAATTAATTCTTTATTTGCCTCCCATATCCAGCCATACTGTTAAAATGGGCAGTTTATTTGGGCTGAGTGGGATCATATTTTTTTTTTCTTCCTCTGAGCCATTATTTTAGACCATTATTTGCAGAATTCAGAAGGCATCAGGTGGTCAGATTATAATGTGAGAGGGTTTTTTAAGGATTTTGTTTCTAATAGTGAGTAGAAACATAACATGATTTTAAGTATGGAAGCTGTGGAAAGGATGTAGTTTTACACTGCTGTAGAAGAGAAATGTAAGCTAGGACTTTGGTACAAAACTCTGTCACTTCAGATGGTCTTGTGTCACATTTATTATTCTTTTCCAAGTTTGCATCTAATGTGGTCTGAATGTTTCCATGGGAAAAGTGACTTCTCTTAAACCAGCTCTGCTTCTCCAGCCTTCATTACATCTGACAGAGAAGAAGGCACCTAGACTACTTTAAAAACAAACGGGGAATATGCAGTGTGTATATTGTATAAGTCTGTTCTGGTTTTCTTCTGACTGCATGATTACTGGATGGGTTTCCTTGCTATACCTTGTATCATCTGATTTGTGGCGAATGCTGACAACTGCTGTTCTTGCACTCCTGTGTGACCTGTCCTTGGTTTCCAAGGAGAGCACTCCCATGATTTGCCCCTCAGCAGTGGAGTTGATTCCCTTCCCTTTGATGCTTGTATCAGTTTTAATGACAGTGGTGTGTTGTTTGTTAAGTCATTCACATTCTAGCAAATGCCTTTGTCAGAGCCTATTCATATATATAATACAGCAGAGTCCGTTATTACTCTTTTAATTTCCTAGAGCTATTGAAATCAGATAATTAAATAGCACAGGCTCTTAGTAATTAATATGTCAGGTGGTGATCATAGCTTTATTCTTTAGGAATGATTCCAAGCCTAAACCTTTTAAGTATGTAATCAGTAATTCTATTTTTACTCTTTCACAATATATTGGGTTAATATAATTCTGTGTCTGAGCTGGCTTCTAAAATGCAATCCTGTGCTTACATAATGCGTTCCAGGTTTTGGCAAGTTTTCTTAAAATAATTCAAAAAGTAACTTGTCTGGCAGAATACTGCCAAGTGAAGAGGGAGTAGATCCGACCCGATGGAAAGTGACTCTTAGTAGGTGCTGCTGTATGTGACGGCGGTGCTGCGCTGCTGTTGGACCTCACAGTTTGCATGTGGCTCTGGCTTGCTTGATGGACAGCCTGCCTCCTTCTGGCTTGGTTCACAAGGTAACAGTCAGACTAAGTTCAAGGCAGTTTTATTGCCTGACCACAGTACCACTGGCTACTAATGGCTTTAATGAGCCGGGTGTGCAAGCTGCTAGTATTTCTGTGCCTTTCCAACTTGACCCAGGTGAGGAACTTGCCATCTTGTCCTCTAGCAAACCACAAAGGAAAGTTCTACATCAAATGCTGGTAGAACTTTACATGTTATGTCAGCTCTGGAACACCCCACTGAAAGCCAGCTCAACTCTGTAACCTATTTTAGCAGGTTTCCTGTATTGGACTGTCAGATGTAAAATAATACTGCTGTGGTGAGCTAGTCCTTCATCCTTACAGTCTGGCACCTTGAGATTTCTCAGGTGAAGTTTCTCCAGGGATTGTTTGATGAAGGATGGGATGGGTATGTGTTTTTTAAGTAATGGCATGGCTTACTCTTTGGAAACCTGTGAAGGATCACGGTTTAAGAACAGCAGTCAGAGAAATGTAAAAGGTTAATTCTGATTTCCAAGGCATCGTTTGGCTTTTATGAAGCAAATGGGAGGAAGCGACAGTCAAGCTCCATGGAAACATGGTTTCTGAGGGATTACAGCCCTTGTAGCGCAAGGATGTTTGTTAGATCTGATATATGGCTTTAGAAGTCTGTGTTTGGGCAGGAAGCCTGGGCACTTGCTGGGAGTGTCCAGAACCACTGAAGTTTGAGTAGAATCGAGGAACTTGTTAGTGGTTTGTTCCTATTTGCGAATTCTGCCCAAGGTTTTTTCCTGCGTATCTTACCTAATGGGCATTCTCTGGATGCGCGTTTGTGATCTGACTACTTGCTCCACAGGGACAAAGCAGCTGTACCTCCTTGCCTAAGGTGCATCAAGCATTTGATTGACATGCCACAAAGGGTGCTGAGCAGTATCACTCAGGATACTTTGCAGTGTGAGAATGTTATACGCATGGCTCTGAATTCCTCCTGTTGAAACTGTTCCGTAGGAGGTATGGGAGGAAGCCAAGACAAGAATGGATGACGTAGCTCAGTTAGAGTACTCTCTAGGGACAGAAAAAAAAGCCTGTATTCCAGTCCCTTTACCAAACATTAACTGGAACAAAAATGGAACATCTTCAAAGGGGAGCAGGAAGGACAGAGGGAGTCCTTTCCCTTATGGACCAGTGGCTTGGGAACACAGGAAAACAAGTGACGAAACCGGTCTAAACTTTTCAGTCTGTATTCTGCCTGGCTAAATAAAAGAACCCTTAATGGCTATGTGAGACAAAGTTTGTGTTGCCTATTCCCTAACATTACCAAAGAATTCATCCTGCATACAGAATTGTACCAGCTGACAAGGGAGGAAGAGATACGTGCTGCTGGGTTTGGGGTAATCTGCTCCAGAGGCTACTTCTGCCCTTAATCTGTCTTTATGAGCTCCATAAGGTAAGTTGTCTTGTGTATGCCTGGACCTTAATGCCACCCACTGTATATTGGCTAGTCACAGTGCTGCTCTCCTGAACCTTGCTGAGCAAGTCCTTCTGGGCTCTGTAGAGGTAATGGAGACAGAGGTGTGGGTTCCACTGGTATGCTTAAACTGTGAATACTGTTGCATTTGGAGCTGTACTGCACAGATCTTCAACCCAAAAAAGGTTTAAACACTTCATGAGTTGTGATTGTTCCTGTTCCTTTTAAGGAGAAACACTGAATTGTAAGTTAGGATTTGAAGTCTGTAAAAGTTCAGAAACTGTGGAAGGGAATTTGGAAGTGTTCTGCAATTCTTGTGGCCAGGATAACCTTTAGAAGCCCCCTCCCCCATCAAACTGCATACCCAGGCTAGTAAATTTAAAAATAAAGAAGAAGTTTAATATTCCAGACCACAAACAACACTGAAACATAGCTAGGCACTACAAAAAAGTGTAATCACCCAGGGGTTCTGCTTTTAAATTCACTTTCTCTTTTGCAGCTCAATGGATAATCTTGTTTCCTTGAGAGGAAAAAAAAAACTCTTTGAAAGTGTTTCTGAAATGATTCCCTCTTCTTAGTAGCTGAGAAACTTCTAGCTCCTACTTACATATCTTTGTTTGCAGAGTTTATGCTAGTTAAATTGGTGAATGTGCATCTGTTACAGCAGGTATGAAGTACAGTATGGTTGTAACTGCTGCATATTAGAGTGCACGGGACAATGATCCAGTCACCCTGAATGGACCCAAGCTTCAGCATTTTGGATGTAGTCAGGTACCCAGGGCATCCACAGCAAATCTTTATAATCACCTCTACGTACTTGACTTTCTGCAGACAGCGTCTCCTGTGTCATAGTGATCAAGCAGGCTGTGGGCAATGAAGCTCCGTTCTGAGTGCAGAGTTTCGCACTTTGGGCAGACGAGGATTTCACATTTTGGACACATTTTCCCAGAGTGAGGCTGCCTTAAAGTACATATTTCTTCCCTCGCTGCCTTCAGCTTTTTGGAACCTTTCCTGTGTAAGCATCTTCTCTTGTCTTCAAGAAGCTGACTTCTTCCCTGAGGGCTAGAACAGTCAGAAATGAAGGCAACAAGTTTAACCTACACAGATTCCTGGATGAATGAGATCAGCAGAAGCAATTAGTGTGTGATTTATGAACCCTTCCTGAGGCTTTCCCTGTGACACGCTAGGAGCAGGTGCAGCGTGTGGTCACCTGCAGAAAGCAGGAATGGACAGAAAATGGAGAGTGCGGCTCTGGTGCTGAGGTGGCAGCAACAAACCATTAGTTTCAGAACATAGAATTATTAAAAGGATTGCCACCATTTAAACAAAACCATAAGAAAATGGTAAGGCAACTAGCTTGGTAGGTGCTTTCTATTCAGTTCTTTAATACGTTGGTGGTGGTGAAACAAGCCTTGTGTGTTTGCATGCAGACAGATTTCATACAGCTTTATGTATCTAAGTTATAGGCTCTGACGTAGTAGAGCTCATTTACATTATCATAAATGTTCTTTTTCCTCTTTCATGCACTAATAATTATGCTGGCTAGTAGATAGCCCCTATATTATGCTATCCTTGAACAGAGATGGAAAGACAGCAAGGGAAGCACTCTTGATTGAATTATATGCCATTATATTTTCTATAAAACAGTACCTCCCTCAAAATCAAGCCAATAACCTACATAATCCCTTACAGAAGCTCACAAATCAGTGCCGAACTGCAGAGATTGTATGATTTCACCGCTGTGAAGTTCTGTGGACCCTGATGCCTGGAATGTTTTAAAAAACCCCTGCCATGCAGTTGGTCTGTGGAAATACACCCAGTAAAGCCTGAAGGCTGACTCTCCATTAATGTGAGAGTACCATGGGAGGAGGATGCTACATCACTGTTTTAGTATGTTTTTATTTTTAGATCAAACTGGGGAAAATCCATATTCATCACCTTCTAATAAGGATCAAGTCCCAGAGAGCATGACTTGACTGCTTCAGCTGCATTTGTCTGCCTCCCGAATGCACGCTTCAGTGTAATTTTGCACAATGGAGAAAATTCACAGGTGTAATTTACTGACTCCTTGGATGCTTGACTGTTTCCAGTCTAGTTCCTCAGCAGCAAGATAAACCCCAAAGCAAAGCCTTGGTATTAGTTGTTCTCCAGTTGGATCAGTCTGAGAGAAGAACGTTGCTTTCAGGATCATTTTTGGCTAGTCTATATTAATCTTGTATCAAGCTTGTAACCAGCTGCTGTGGCTTTCAAGCTTAATGTAGTTAGCTGAGTAATTGTTGAGACTTGCATGCACTTCCTGCTAAGACAGTAATTTCATGATAATTATCAAAGGCAGACTCTTTGGAGATGTGTACAGAAAACGGCTCTTTTAATGGATGAGAAAAGACTCCTTTTGGAAGCTAGTCCTGATCTTAGCATGACGTATATGGTACGTTTACCTCATGTGCAGGAAGAATAATATCAAGTACAAAGACCCAAGAAAAGAATTTCAAATCCCATCAGACTGATGATAACTCAAACCTAATATGTGCACAAAGCAGTAAACTCAAACTCATTTTTGCCTCTTTGCTAACGTTGGTTAAAGAAGGAATGGTTTTGTATTACTTGGCTTTTTCTATCTATAAAGCAGTAAGCATAAAGGCACTATTTTAGGAACATAAGCAGTAATTACGGTCTGATTCAAGGAACTTAGAAGCACTAACTTTGAAGAGTGATTTTGGCTGCTGCCCATACGTTGCCACTGTATCTTACAGGCTGGAGGTAGGGATATTGGCACAACGAAAACTGCAGCAATGTGACCTCTAGAAGCAGTGTCTTGGGTTGTCACAACTGGCAGTGCTTGTGTGTATGTGGAGGAATAGAGATGCTGCCCCTCCGGTTCTCTTGCTGGGTGGGAGGAAGTATAGGGAAATGGTTGTCAGATGAACATGCAGACCACATGTTCAGAGACCTTCATGTCATACTTCTGGCAGTGACTTGCTTTTTTAGGTCAAGTTGTTTAATTAGCCTATAGCTGTTTTCCTTCTTTGTGAAACAATCAACAGAGTAGAAGTAAGAGAGATGTCTGTGGCTCTTTGAAAGGTGCTCTGGAAATACTTAAAAATGTTTTGGTTAAGAATGTATACAAAATATAATCTCAGATGTACTTACAGTTTCTTCTTAGGAGACCCAGAGAAGAGGCTCAGTCCAGAAAATCTCCTCCTGAATAGTCGCTCTCGCTTTTTTCGGCTGTGCTTCCCATCTCCTGTGCTTTCTTCTGTGAGTTCCTTCTTTCCTTTGTGCCAGCTCATTTTATCTGTCATGGCAACAGCACCTGCTTAGATGAAAGCAGAAATCTGAGTAGCTTTTCGAAAGTCCCTCCCGTACTGCATTAGACCTCGTGAAGTCTGGTCCTGTTACTCCACAGACCTGTAAGTGTCCTGGTTACACAGAAGAGATCAGCTGCTTTCCATGAGGTGGAGCAAATACCTGCTTGGAAAAATCCAGCAGACCCAAGGTGACTCGGTATTCTTACTCAACCACTATTCCACGTAATTATAGAAAGTACGTTTGGACATTAAATATAATAAATATTTCCCTCTACGAGCTCTCTTTCATGATTAGGCTCGTTCCTGAAAACCAAGAGAGGAGGCAGCTCGTTTGATAAAAGCAAAGAGCCAGGAGCTAAAGAAACAGTTTTGTGCGGAGAACAGAAGCAGTGAAACAGATGTGAGATGGAACAAACACTGCAAAGCAAAAACCAGAACCCTGAAAAGATGAAGAACCAACTGGGGATTTTAGTTAAGGCTTGGAAATTGTTTCCTTTTTCTTTTGATAGACCAGTTATTAGTCTGCATTTCCGTGTTGCATTGCTTTGTCTCCAAGAATTATCCCTTTGGCCTCTCTGATTGAATTAGTCTCTCTGCTCTGCTTTTAATACTTGGTAATTGCATTAACTTTTGGTTGCTTGACTTGGAGGGCTGCATTCAGCCCCTCCTATTGCCTGGAAGCACTTGTCTCTTCCTACCTCTTCAAAATGTCTTCCACAAATCATCTAATACCAGTCATGCAAACTCTGTAGGTTTAAAACCAGAACTGAAAGCATTTTGAACTATGCACTTTTCTGATTTTACTCTTCATCTCCTCCCCCTGTCATCCCCCATCCATCCCTTGTCCTCCCCCCTCCCCTCCCACACTCAACCTTCCCTGTCTTAAGGACAGCAATTCTTAACCAGCTCTTACAGTATGATACACACAGGCAGAAGGGACTCACTGTGCAAAGTCTTTGCAGGATTCACACCCTGAAGCAGGGTGTGTTTAACCGTATTGTAATACAGTTGTGTTGTAATCATTTACTTTTACACACGTTAAGAAGAGACTGTAACTATCTTGAAGGAACATCCTACTCATGCTTGGTAGTGAGACATCCAGCTTTTTAACAGAACCCACGTAAATTGAACCTGTTTCTTCCACAGAAATGGCAGAGTAGACTGTAAAAGAAGATGCAAACAGCTAACTGACCTGTAAGAGGAAACTGTCACTAAAGAATTACCATGCTATTAAGGAATGAATCAAAGTTGCCAGTGAAAGAAAATTGTACACTTCACGATTATAGACTTCAGTTTTTAATCTGTGACAAAATAATCTGCAAGTTTGAGACCTGTTTCAGGCATGCAGCGGTGCTGAGGTGAAGCTTTGCAGAACAGACCAATCCATGGCTAATAAAGTCAGCAACTGGGGAGGCAGGAATCTTTCTTACCTCTGAGAAGCGAGCTTCAAAGGCTTCTCACTGCAGGATCTTTCAGTACTAATTCCACTCATCTAAAAGATCAAGAGAGGAAAGCGTAACATTGAAAGTACAGGTGTAAGTATGTGGGAATTGGTGACAAAGAATCAAAGATAAATGGAAAGGGTCTTTTCTAAAGCCTTTTAGTTAGTAATTATTTAGAAATTGTAATTTGGATATATATTGTAGAGTATTTAATTTTTAACTATGAAGTTGGCTGGCTATGTTGAGTCTCCAGTGTAATTAACTCTAATGATGTAGGAGGAATCCCTTCTATACTTCGTTTAACATGCGTTACCAGGTCAGGAGATTTGAATACCCAGTATTTAAATATCGTGTTTCTTTGCCATGCTTTTCTTCTTTCCTTAAATCTTGTCAAACTTGACTACCATTACTTTCAATATACCAATTGATTGTCCTCACCTTTCACACTTAGCAACAGAATAGTGTTTTTCTGATCTGTGAGCCAAACCAGTAATGGTGTTACTGTTGATAGCCCTGAGATTTACTTCATTAGCTGGTCAGTCCATAAGCCTATAATGACTCTTTAAAATGGGAATCCTACTTGTAGATCTGGGAGAAAATACATTTCCTTCAGATGAAGATCACGTAGCAGCAGGGGACAGCACTTTTAGGAACCTCAGTGTTGTATGTTTAGCTCGTCTCTAGTTAATTATAAGCAAGGTCTAGTACCTGCAGGACTTCAGATGTCAAACCTGATTTGCACTGATGCTTGCTGTTGACTGCTTTCATTCGTAGGCTACCTGAGCAGTCCACTGGTGTCTCTGTAACTGCCTTCATGTTTACAGACAGCATTTCAGGACAAAGTATTATGGATGGATGGGGCAAAAAAACCAAACAAAACCCCACAACAGTTGATGGATGAGATAGTTTTTCCTACCCAGGTCTGGCAGGTTAAAGATGAAGGAAGCTATTTTCCAGAAACAGAGTGTTTCTACAGCCATCCCCCCATCTGCAGCAGCCCTGACCCAGCTGATATCCCCTGGGGTAAAAGAACCCAACAGAGCAAGAGGTAAAAACTTTGTGACAGGGACTGCCACGCAAACACACAGGGCGAGAGATGCCAGACAGGAAAGGAGGTCTGGAGAAATGAAATGACACCACTAGCAACTTGGGAAGTACTTCTCAAGGTATTTCCAGGATGCAGCTTTCCTGATCCAGTCCTGTGTCTTAATTCAATACAATTTAAACTGTTTGAACAAATTCTGATTTTTATTTTTTTTTTTTTTTTTTGCCACCACAAGGTGTCTCTGCATCTCTTCCTACACCGAAGGCTTTGGTAGCCTTTAATGGCAAGTTGATGTAGGGCTAAAGGAAAATATGCCCCAGCTTAGATATGGACTTTCTTCAGGATCATGAGCCTTCTTGGATTGGAATGGTGATGCCTTCATTAGCTGGTAGGAAATTATTCTTTAGCAAGAAAGGCCATAGTCCAATGATGTTATTTCATTTGGTTTTGAGAGCTCTCCTGCGTTTGATCGAAGTAAGCTGTGCTCATGTGACAGGGTGCATTGATCTAGCCTAAGCTCATTCTGCACTATGTTCACAATGTTTGAAGCATCATCCTTACAATGGCACAATTTTGCTAAAGCAGTATCTGTCTGCCATTTTACCTTTATGCTTATGTGGGTACTTTCTGTTGTCCTTCCGTCAGAACAGAGCTGGCACGAAGTCAGCATAAACACTGCATCTCATGCTCTAGATAGTGTGTATATTAAAACTGTTTCATGTTGGGTTTGGGGTTTTCCAGTTTTGGATCTTTTTTGAGTCTTACAAACTTTGGTCTAGCATCACGGTTACTTCTTCCACCCTCCATACAGTAGGGACAGGAAGTCAGACCACAGAAGGGGCTGGAAGGTCTAAGAAAGCAGATCCTTCTGTCCAAGGAGCTCTTGACCACGCATGACTCTTCACCTCCTCAGTATTTTGGGTTTGAGAACTAAGATAACATACCTGGTGGCATGTGGTCCCAATGTTAGGCGTAACCCTGTGAGTGGGTTTTGGTGTGGCTGTATGCTAAAGGAGTATCAAACATATCTTTGTCTAGGATGTCTGAAAAGTAAACTGTCCTCACAAGAAAAGAGTTATGGAGGAATTCTAGATGACAAGTGCTAAGTGGTCTCTAGATGGATAAATCTCAAAGCTTCTCTGGAATATTATTGTCATCAGGGCATGACAATTGGTTTAAAATCCAGCTTTTTTGTAGAGAAAATCCAGCCTGAAGTGGTTTTTACTTCCATCAGGTAAAGTTTCCCAGGGCCAGGCTGTTACAAGTGCAGTGTGTGAGCAAGCCCTTAGTGATGTGGTCAAATGTAGAAAACTAAGGCTCAAGGTGGTATTTATTTATTCATGCAAGTAATTAGGTTCAGTAGAAAAGACAGATTCACCCTCTGGTGGCAGTAGGTATGACGGGTCTTCAATGCAGCAAGCAAGCTCCCAGGCACCAGAGGGAGAAGAAAGAGATGTTCCTGTGATTAAGTTACTCTGAGGTGTTTGTTCCACTGTTCCCAAGGGGCTGGTTCCCTTCAGAGCTGGCAGCCCAGAGGCTTGCATCTGAATCCAGCTGGGATAGCATCTGAGCCTGGATTTGGGCAATAACTGAGTGTCCTAATGCCTGGGCTCTATACCACTGCTGTGGGTGTTTTCACAGTCCCAGTTCCTTTCTTTCTCCATGAAAATTTTCAGCTTGTTGATACTAAGTTTAGAAATCAGGACTGATGTGTTGCTCACTCCTAGTACCTGTATCTTTTCCTGTCGCTTTGAGGAACATCTCTTTTCTTTGGCTTCCAGATGCAGAAAAGACAGATTCAATCTCATGACACCAAGGTACTTCATCCCCAACAGGCACACCAAGATCTGAGGTCTAGACACTTACAAAAACTCCTCCTGTTCTGGGTAAGCCTTCCACTTGCTTGGGCAGACACCTGGTCTCAAAAGCTTGTGCTACCTGTCACTGAAATTGATGGAAAGTTAGTGAAGGCAGTGACTGGTGGAGTGTCTTTTTACATGAAAAATGGAACAAGTTATCTCAAGTAATAACATTATTCCTTAAACTGTTATCTGAATGGTGGGCCGCACAAATGTTTTCATGCCGTGTTTATTATTGATTTCTCTTTATTCCCAGATCCAGGCCATGTATGACATTACTCAGTATGAGAATATTTCTAGTTTGTTCATGATTCTGCAACAACTTCTTCCAGATGAAACAGAAGAAATGTTCTGCTTAAGAAGAAGTTTTGATCTGTACAGGAACACAGGGGGTGGACAAAGAGAGTGCTAATGTTAATGAAAGGGATTCAGGGGTGATATTGGATGACTGGACCTAGGTTGGTTGGACAGAACTTGGAGCAACCTGATTTAGTGGAAGGTGTCCCTGCCCCTGGCAGGGTGCTGGAACTGGATGAGCTTTAAGGTCCCTTCCAACCCAAACCAGTCTAGTATTCTATGAATCATGCAAGAAGCAATGGCTGATCTAGTAGCTTGTCTGCCTCTGGATTTGCTCTACACTGTGGGAAGGAATTACAATCCAGACAATTTCCTTTTTGTCATTCTCAGGTCCTCACCTGTGACAGCACAGATTAAACTGCAACAACACCTCCTGTGATTTTATTCCTCTTTTTTCCTTTCTCTTCCCTTTCTTCTTTCTACAGAGGAGAGGGAGACTGAAGGTGGTTACAGACACACACAAAGGTTTTCACCTCCACAGCCACCCTCAAGCCTCCCGGCTGGAACGATCCCGGCTCCTGTAACCACACCCAGCGAGACAGGGGCAGGAGCGGGATGCAGGAGGCTCGGTCTGCCTGAGTCGCTCTAGGACCTTCTCCTGCCTGGCGTGAGGCTGGGGAGGGGGTACCCCGTGCCCTGCCTCTACTTCCTACCCTGTGATGTGAGGCACAGGCATGCTCAGTAGCCGGTGCCTACCCCTCCTAGCTCAGCAACAGTGCCTACAACACTAGGAGACTGCTGGTAGCAGGAGCGGAGCCGGAAAGCCATCTTTGCTAGAGAGGGAAGCAGCAGTCCCTGCGCCGCTAGGCAGCCGCGCCACTGCCCATCATGTGAGTACCGGGAAGGGGGGGGGGCCCTGCCCCACGGCCCGGCCCCAGGCGGGACGCTCACGGCGGCTGTGGGGACAGGAGCGAGCATTGATGTGCAGCCTCGGGCGTTACCCTGTTGCTGCCGCAGCCGAGGGGGGGGATTAACTTTTGGGATCCGGCGTCGGTTTGGTGCTCGTGGGACGTGCGGCGGGGTGGGGTGACGGGATGGAAACAGGAATACCGGTGTCTGAGGCTGCCGTTCCTTGTGGATGGCATCCGTGCAGCTGCAGACTCCGAGCAAGGAGGTCCAGGGCGTGGGGCTTGGCTTCAGCCGGCCGGAGTCTGTGGCGAGCAGCATCCAAGTGTAATCCATCTGCTCCCGCTGGTAGCCTGGGGCTTGGTCCACTGTTCCTCCAGCTGCCAGGCAGCGGTGGGGGGGATTACTGACACATTTCTAACTCGGATTACTACTCAAAAGGAAATGCTGGGCCAGGATCCTCAACAGGTTTGAGTCAGGATTGTTCCATAGCCTGAGTCACTCCGTGCTGCTGATCCGCAGCTGTTTATTTTCACAGTTTAATGCGATGTTCTCTCTCAAATACTAGCTGTCTGATCCATTCAGCCTCACCATCTCCAGTGCCAATGGCTTCCTGTCAGCAGCGCTTCATAATAGTCTGCTCCTTCTTGTTTGCATCTCTTCAAATATCTCTTCCAAGTCTTTACATTCAGCATGAATGACAGCATTAACATTCTCTGCTAGGCAGTGATGAAACCCCCAAAGACATTGTGAAACCAGAAGTGTGTGGAGGTAAGTAGGAGCTGGTCGTCTCCCTGTTCATTCACAAAAGAATTCAGGTCACTAAATGCATCACTTTACTAGTGTCTCAATTGGCTGCTCGTTTCCAGTGACTCCTAAGGGACAGTCAGGAATATGTCTAAACCAGTCACTCCTCTGTGGTGTGTGGGACCAAATACCTGCTGGTATCGGATGGTCTTCAAAGGACTGCAGCTTAGCTAATTCAGACAAGATGAGGAGTGGAAACAGTCCTGGCAATCTACAATTAAATGACTTTAAAAATATTTCCAGTAACCGTTTGTCTTCATGAGGAGAGCCCGCAATCTCATATTCTGAAATGTTGTCTTTGTTCTTGAATGCTACTTCCTATGTGATATCTTGGGCAAAAAGCTTTTGTCCATGTTTGCTAAAATGTTTCCCAAGGAAGGAACTCTTTGGAAGTGAAAAAAAAAATTGTTATCTAGAAGAAGATTTCTCATTTAAATACTGAACTCCATCTAGCAAAAGCCAGTTCATTGTAAGCTTCTGTTGCCTAGTTCTGTTGTTATCAAGAGCCAGATGATATCAAATACTTTTATTTGTATGTGAGCTGTTCTTCAGTGATTAATAGTAGAGTTTGCTGCTGCAGTATTACACAAGCTAAGCTGTTCAGACACAAAATAGTACCTCAGATAATGTTTAACTTAACCTGTGTATATTTCAGTCTTGGTGTACATAGGTGTTCATGAGAGCATTTGTAAATAAAGCAGAAAGGGTGATGCTAGTGTAAGTCATTCATACTTCTTCTGTAGGGAACTTGCATCAGACTTCTGAGAAAAATTACAAGCAAAAGGGAAGGCATTTTATGTCTGTTTTGGCAATATAGACTTTCAGTCTGATAATGGAAACAAAGCCAAGACAAATAAGCAGCTTGTCATTGGCAGTGTCAGTTGGCTTCAGTCTCACTGCCAGATACTGTAATGAAAACTTCTTTTTTAACATCTGCATGAATATCATGTCCCAGTACCTTCTGAGTTACTGATGAGCACCAGAGATAAATGTGTATTAGCTACTGACTTTTAGCAGCAGCTACAGTTGTAGTTCACTGGAATATAAAAGCTATTTGCTAGTGAGCACCAAAGACACTGTAGAGGTTACTTCTGCTACAGAGTATTGCAAGCATGGACTCATGCATGTATGCAGGCATGCACATGAGACACGATGCTGCGTCTTCAGCTGGTGTGAACTAGTGTCAATAAAGAACTCCTTCACTGGGTCAAATGGCAGCTCCGTATGTCCTGGTGTGTTATCCCCTAAAGAAGCTTGCAGGGAATGCTCAGGGAAGAGAGTACAAGGAAACAGTGGGTATGCAGTGGCATTGCCAGAATACTTTTCCAGTTTCCAGGGATTTAAGGTTCAGGGAGTGTCTAAACCTGAGGAGAGTTCTTTGTATTTCATGGCTCCCAGTGCTGTTCTTCCAGGAAGGTGTCCAGTTGTTCCATTTGCAGTGTCCTGTGGCAAGGAGCTTCATAGTTGGACCATGGAGGCTGTGAAAGCTGCTTCTTGTTGGATTTGAGCTGTCAGATAGCAGGTTCTTTCTGATCGTACTCTTGTACTGGGAATCAGAGACCAGTGTTCTTTATTCACCACCTTCTCTGTGATTCATGATTGTGCATCAGACCTACACTGATTTACATCAGGTCGGAATCTGTCCCTGTGGTCTCTATTACAGCAAGTAGAATCCAGGGCAGATTAGATATGTTCATGTAACAGACATCTTTTACCTTGCTTCAAGCAGAGGAAAGGAAGCTGTGACAGAAGAAATATAAATGAAAGGAGGAGGGTATAAGAGGGTCCTAAAGCGAGAACAGCGAATGGTTGAGCTATGCCAGTGCAGCTGGGAAGATGGAGACAGTTGAGGCCAGGCTGGATGTGGTTCTGAGCAATGTGATCTAGTGGAAGATGTCCCTGCTCATTGCAGGGGGTTGGACTAGATGACCTTTAAAGGTCCCCTCGAACCCAAACTAATCTATGATTCTATGATTGTTCCAGCTGTAAGGGAGAGCCCACAAACTTACTTGGAGGAGATATCAGGAGCAGTGAAGGGAGATGAGAAAAAAAATGGTGCTCAAAGCTGAGGCACTTAAAGGCTTTGTTCCTCTCTGGAAAACAGACTAACAGCAGCAGGTGAGGTATATGGTTTTGTTTCTTTTACAATGGTCACATCTCAATAGGTAATTATATATAATAGAAGCTCATGGCATCATGTCATCTGTTGTTTACAGACAGGTCAGTGACCAGACAGCAGGGTGCCTTTGATTACATTAATTCGATACAAATGTGCTCTATTGCAGGGTACAACTTTTGTGAGACAAGCAGCAAAGCAAAGCACCTGGCTCTCCCTGGGGCAGTATTGCCTTGCTCTGTCTCATTCCTCGGGCAGCAGTTAGGCCTTCCTAAAAAAAACCCCAAGCCTCTGCCTGTTTTAGAGCAGCAAGGAGTACATCCTGGAGGGGCTGAATGGGATTGAAGTGGTTGCACCAGTTGTAATGAGGCTCTTCTGGCTGAATGTCTATTCAGTTCCTCTGAAAAGAGTGGCATAGCTGTGGCCTCCTGCTGTTAGCAGAACAGTACTTAGCCCTCCTTTTGCTGGCATAATTTTATGATACTCTGCAGAATCTCCCTACCCTGTCCTTCTCTTGTACTGAACAGCAGAGACAAACCGATTTAGTACAGTTCTCTACACAGTCCTGATCCACTGCTTTTAGGGAGTTTAGTGGCTTACAAAAGTCCACGTAGCCAGTGCATGTCCTATAAAAGTATAACCAGCATGAAATGGAGGAGTAAATGTTCTAAGTGATGCAGCTATTCCAGGATGGTAAAGGGTTTGTATACCCTTAGAAATATATTCCAAAGAGCTTTGGAAATCCATGGTGGCAGGAAGATTTGAGTCCACTGGAGCTCTTCAGGTTTTACATCTGGTGGCCAGCTGCATCATACTGGGATGATGCCACAAAGAAGGAATCTTCTTCATGTATTGCATTAGAAATAAATGCTTTCAGTTCACATTAAGTGTTATTCCTGATACACTCATCACTTGAAATAAGGGTCGCCCAAGTAGGTCATAAAGCTTTCGGATATTTGGTTGAGGAGTATTTGAAAGTGTAGAAACCAAACTGAATGGTGTCAGGAGGACCTCAGCTAAGAAAGTCTCAGAATGAGAGCTATTGGGAATTATATGTGCCAAGTACAGACAAGTGAATATGTGTCATGATAAACAGTCTTCAAAACAGGCGAATATGTAGTAGATGGAACCCAAATCTGTTTAGTTTGGTGGTCTCATTCCTTGTGACTTAGTGCTTATTTATTCTGCTATGTGTCAGCTGTAGCTTGTTCCTGTTAACTTCCAGGCATTTTGCATAGATGGTTCCAGCTGTGGAGTAACTTACAGGACACTTAAAGTGGCTGCAGTGGAAGCTGACTCGTCTGCCCAAAGGAGCATTTCCCCTTTTTAGATGGTATTTACGTAATTAATGCCTTCCTGAAAAATCAATAGTTAGTTGTAGAATACCAGCAAACCCGTGTTTGTGTGCATGCCTGTGGACGAGCATGTGTGAGAAAAGGAGAGCAACATGACTGCTACTGCTGAACCCAGGACAAACCTGTTCTTCCCCTTCTTCTGCCACCATTTATAGGAGGCAGAACACATGGATTATTCTCTCTGGCAGCTTTAGCCAGATGTTTATGGTGCCTTTGGAAAGGACAGTACAGACTGTGCTAAATCAGTCAAATTGACTGAACTGCTCATTTTAAGCAATTATGACTTAGAGAATATCCTCTCACCTACAACATTCAGTGCTCTACTGTCGTTATTCATAGCCATTGCCAGCAATTAACTAGACCAGTGTTTTTCAATGATGCAGTTCCTTTTTTCCCTCATGTCTGTACTTGAGCCCCCTAAACTCTGTTCCGTTATGGACTGAACAACCACCAAGTGATTGCAAGGTGGGTTGTTTTTTTCTAACTGCTCAGTTATGATCACCTTATGTTTTACTGTGTAAACAGTAACTCACAGAAATAGATCCGTCTGTACATTTGCAAGGGTTTTTTTTTTTGTCAGTTGCAGTTACATTGTAGCTTCTGTACCGGGTAAAATAAGTTCCTGACCGAATGATCTGAATTACCTGACCACGTTCCTTAACCACTTCAGATGCAAAATTTAAAGAATATGCAGGAACAAAAATAAAAAAAAATTAAAAAAAGCAGTATTTCAATTTCAGAGTTAATTAGAAAGAAATCTAATTTATTAGGTGTTAACTTACACCTGATGGACTCAGTGTCACAGGGTCCAAAGAGGACTCTATTCTAGAAAATAGAAATTCTCCCACGATGACATTATAGAAGAAAAAAATCCACATTGTTTCAGGAATTGTGGTTTTTTTGGTTGTTTTTTAAAGTACATTCTCATTTACCACAGTGCTCTCTAAATGTGAACCAGTAAATGTATTTGAATCAAGGGCTGTCACTGACTATTTATACATCAGGGCTATAGCTTGTGTTCTCTAAGTATCAGACTGTTGACGGTTTGGTTTGTGAGGAATCAGTGCTGTGAACTTCACTGGAGTTTTTATTATGAAACATGTCAATACCATGCGAATTGAGACAGCCTTTGCGAAAAGCTGGAAATGGAAAAACTGGGCAGTGGGAATATGCCAGAGGCTGTGATTTGTCCTGCTTCCCGATGCAGGAGTCTAAGAAGGAAAGGAAGTGTCCACAGAGCTCATAAAACTCCTTACATGGTCTAGAAGAGTTGGAGGGAGGAAATATACAATGGTAAGTGCTGCACTGAACTGTCGTTAGTGCCTCATACTGGATAAATGCTGATTTTCCGTTAAGCCGCTCACACCAGATCCAGAGGGGAATTTATACATTTAACTTTAAAAATTCTGACTGGATAATTAAAAAGCAAATCTCACTGTCCCATGCAGCAGACTGGAAGAGACAGGAGTTGCTGGTAGTAGACAAGGTTACCAAAGAGTGGTGTGCTAAGACTTGTCACCCACTGCTACAGAGCTGTGGCTTTTACAGCTCAGTTTGTAGCTACTGGAAATGGTGGGTTTAATCCCTGGTTTGTCTAGCAAGATGGTGGCTGCTGAGTTAGCACCAAGGACTGTATTGCTTCAGGGATGGCTGTGGAGGTGGATCCTTCATCTGTGGAGACATACAGGAAAGCTCTATGGGCACGCTTGGCAAAGAGTGCTCCTTATATCCATGCTGGTAGCAGGTACCTCTTGGTTTTGGACTTCAGAAG